CCTGTTTGCTTACATTATACTAATAAGATCCCTCCCCTATTATCCTATATGAATTCTAGAGGAGAGATGTCTCCCATCTTCTACACCTGTTAGATCAGGTAGGGGGTACCAGGCACCAGAAGGTACTTAAAAACAATTCCTAGATGGTGACTCACACTGGGCCCCATGGTAACTCCTGTTCTCCCCCCTTCCTCCATCTAAGGCTTGTATGTTCCCTATATACTCAAAGCATCTACTCAGGCAATTGATTATACAATGATTTTTACATTTTTTTACATTTTATTAAATTTATACCCCGCCCTTCTCCCGTAGGACTCAGGGCGGCTTACAGCCAGTTAAAAACAATTTAATACAATACAATAGAAGTTTTTAAAAAATCATTAAAAATAAATATATAATCAGCCGCATCTACTAAAATTTGGCTAAAACCAATTTAAAATACCCCTAGGCCAGTCCTGCCCGCTGGAACAACCAGGTCTTAAGGGCGCGGCGGAAGGAGGGGAGATCCGGAATGACCCAGATCTCTGGGGGCAGCTCGTTCCAGAGGGTATATATGATAATTATAAAATATGTTTACATGATGATAATACTAAAACCATATATATATTTATTTTTAAATTTCCTCCACACAATCAGCTGTTTCTCCGTAAAAGTTCTTTTGATCCAACTGGATGGAATCAGAGTCTTCCTTTGCTGAGGGACCAGCTGAACCAGTTCCTTACAAGCCCAAAGCAGAAGTCCACCAAAAAGAGTCAGTCTTTGTGCCTTTAAGCCCTCCATGGACAGGCTTATCAACTCAAAGGGTCTAGTGAGCTTCAGAGAATAATGAATAGCACTTCTTCCACTGCTTATTAAACTCAGCCCTTCTCTTTGCTCAAAAATGATGATAAAAATAGTAGGTGTATTCTACCAAATAACAGGTGCTAGCCAGGGGCATGTAGGCATGCATTACATTTATACAACCTCACACTTTAATAAAAGCAGAACACAACACAGAAGCCAATACAGACTCCCAGCTCCTCCAGACGTAACATATTCCCACTTTCTGGAATCATAGAGGGTCTCCTGCTGGAGGAGGGGGTTGGACTAGAAGACCTCCAAGGTCCCTTCCAGCTCTGTTGTTCTGTTAGCTGATGAGAGAGCTTCCTGCCTACATCTAAACATGCCTGGAGAAGGTCACTGGGCTCCAGCATCAGATTACCTCAGCCATTGAGTGCAGAAACAACCGGAACATTAAAATGATTTCACATCTTAGAAAAGGGGCTTTGGGGGAGGTGGGGGACATAGAAGTTCGAAAGCCTCTGAAACTGCCAGCTCAGGATCCTCTCTCAGCCCGGGAGAAGCTGGCTGGAGGCTGAGAGAGCAGCAGGAACCCCTCCAGCCTTTGGGGGGGGCGTAGGAAGCACGGAGAGCCCCCCAAGGCCGAGGATCTCGGGCCAGGCTCCCCGGGGAGAAAGGGGCGCATGGGGGGGGGCAAAGCGGACCCCAAAATTCAATTCCCCTTTGCATCACCTCCGCGGCGGGAATAATACCCCCCTCGCTACTGCGCAGGCGCTCTCTGGCCGATTGAAAGAAAGCGACACGCCGATTGGTCGTTCTGGGGAGGGCGGCGATTGGCAGGAGGACTCCTCCTTCAGAGGAAGAGGCGGAGCGTCGAGGACAAGCACGCGAAAAGAGGTCCCGCCTCCACTTCCGGATATAAAACGGGCAACGAGCGATCTTCCTGAAGCGGCGATAGAGGAGCCGGGATGCACTTTTGGCGCAGGGGATGCTGGGAGTCGCAGTCGGGTAGGGCGTCTTCCGGGGGAGGGAGGGGGGAGGGAGGCCGGGTCCGTGAGAGGCGGAGGCTTCGGCCTTCCTCCCCGGGGAGCGTCTGGGGCCCCTCGGGAAAGGGACGGAGCCGTGACCCGCCTCTCCTTTGCTCCTGCAGGAGGACGGGCGAGCCCTGCGGAGGAAAGGGGCGCTCCCCGAGAGGAGAGGGCGGGGAAAGGCCCGGAAGGGATGAGCCGAAGGGGACTCCGGGAAAGGAGGCCGCCTGGAGGGAGAAGCGGGGAGCAGGAAACGGGCGGAGACCCCGAGACGGGCCTGGAGGGCGGAGGGTCCTTCAGAAGGGGCGGAAGACCCGGGAATCCCCAGAGAATCCACAAGAAATATGAATGCCCGGAATGTGAAAAACCCTTCAAAAGAATTGACCATTTTCAAAGCCATCTAAGAATCCACTTGCGAGAAAAGAAAGGAGAAAAGAAATATGAATGCCCGGAATGTGGAAAAACCTTCAGAAGAATTGACCATTTTCAAAGCCATCTAAGAATCCACTCCGGAGAAAAGAAATACGAATGCACAGAGTGTAAAAAATCCTTCAACTCAAATGGAGATCTTGAAAAGCATCTAAGAATCCACACAGGAGAAAAACCTTATCAATGCGTGGAATGTGGAAAGAGCTTCGGTCATATGAGCAGCCTTTACGTACATCAAAGGATCCACACTGGAGAGAAACCGTTTAAATGCCTGGAGTGTGGAAAGAGCTTCAGACATAGGAACAGCCTTTATGTACATCAAAGGATCCACTCAGGAGTAAAACCGTATAAATGCCTGGAGTGTGGAAAGAGCTTTTTTGATGGTGGAAACCTCTATAAACATCAAAGGATTCACACTGGAGAAAAACCATATAAATGCCTTGAGTGTGGAAAGTCCTTCAGTCAGAGCAGAAGCCTTTGTGCACATCAAAGGATCCACATAGGAGAGAAACAGCATAAACACTTGAGGTGTGGAAAGGGCTTCAATGAGAGGAGAACAGACAGACGACTCAGCAATCTCCAAAGAATTTTCCAGGGAGAAAAGAAATATCAATGCACAGAATGTGAAAAATCTTTCAAAACTAATAGAGATGTTGAAAACCATCTAAGAATCCACACAGGAGAGAAACCATTTAAATGTCTGGAGTGTGGAAAGTGCTTTACTCGGACAGGACACCTTTATACCCATCAAAGGATCCACATAAGAAAAACCATATGAATGCTTGGGAGTGTGGAAAGAGCTTTACTGTGAGTGGACAGCTTCGCAAACTATCTACACTGGAGAAAAAACACATAAATGTCTGGAGTCTGGAAAGAGTTTCTGTGAGAAGGGAAGTCTTTATAAGCAGCTAAGAATCAATTCAGGAGAAAAAATCATATAAATGCCTTGAGTGTGGAAAGAGCTTTACCGACGGTTCACACCTTCATCGACATCAAAAGATTCAGAAGGGGGGGATGCTAAATATGCTTAAGTGTGGAAAGACCTTAAGTCATGATACATGTCTAAGTAATTGAATTGAACTCATTGAATTCAATTGAATAATTTGTTTAGCCAAGTGTGATTAGGCACATAAGGAATTTGCTTCCGGTGCAGAAGCTCTCCGTGTACACGCAAAGCAACAGAATTAATGACAGTAGTAATAGCAACAGCACTTAGACTTATATACTAGTTCACCGTGCTTTACAGCCCTCTAAGTGGTTTATAGAGCCAGCATATTGCCCCCAACAATCTGGGTCCTCATTTACCGACCTTGGAAGGACGGAATGCTGAGTCAATCTTGACCCAGTGGAATTCAAACTGTCAAACTACAGGCAGCTGGCAGGAAGCAGAAGTAGCCTGCAATACTGCATTCTAATCACTGCGCCACCAGAGGTGGAAGGGACCTTAGAAGTTTAGTCCAATCCGCTGTTAAAGGAGGAGATCCTATACCAGAGGTCTCCAACCTTTCTGGGCTCGCAGACCAAAGGGAAGGAGAGTAGCTTCCAAATTGGCATGCGTGCACATGCGCACGCAAACAAGGCCACACACAATGGCGTGGCCCCATTCATGCATGCGACATGACAGCCCCCCCCCCAAATGGTTATAAAAACAGGCACAGATTAGAAAGGGAGAAACAATACATTTCTTTGGGGACCTGACAGGTCCGTTTCTAACATCTTTCGCTCTCTCATTGGATGTTGACTTTTTGTTGGAAGTATAGATAAAAACACCACTCGTGCTCCTAATTCTTTCATTTTCTTCCCTAGCTGTTTATAATCTCGTTACTATTTTTAGTTTCATTGTTGCGTCATTGGTCCCCCATGTGTAAGGGAAGAAAGGGGTAGTCATCCGTGGGGTTGATTTATTTTATTTATTTATTTTTTATATTTAAATTTATATGCCGCCCTTCTCCCCATGGGACTCAGGGCGGCTCACAGCATATTAAAACATTGTACAAAAAATTTTCCCCTGCTAAAAACCAATTAAAATCCAAATATTGGTAGCTGTGGCTCTTTAAAATTGTTTAAAAATTGTCCCTATTTAAAACTCACCTTAGGTCAGGCCCGCTTGTTGAAAAA